ATCTTATACAATCAGATCTAAGCCTACACATTATGCGTCAAGGAGCATAACAAAAGAAACGATACTATGTTTCGCAAATACCACCCTCACCTTAGCATATGGAAGATAAAGACCCACTTCTCCTTTTTTTTCTTTTAGACCAACTTAATATCTTAATTGCAACAACATCCTCTTTAGCTTCAGAGACACCTTACACGTTACACGTTTCACGTTAAATGATTCTCTCTGCTTCGACAGATATGAGCCTTACAAAACCCCTATTTAATCTAAAATTTATCTGATATAACTTAGGTTTTCCAGAATTAAGAACAAGTAATTTTTCATCAACTTGTAAAACAAATTCTGAATGGAATATACCTCCGTTTGATAAACCGTCAATTGCTATAGCTTCCTTGCAATGAGATCTATTCATAGAAGTCAAAATATGAATATAACTCTTTCATCTTAAACGGGAAACCAATCTACAAAACCTTTACTTGCCACAATTTTCTCTTTTTCTTCTTCACAATAAAACTCAGATTTAATATAAGGATCCACCATATCAAAACAAGGGTTTGTAGAAGAAGAAGACACAATTATGTCAGGATTTCCTTACCCAAACAAACTAGTGCGATGGATCTTGGCTCCGGTGGGGGAAGTGAACGACGGTGACTACGTGAATCTCTGGTGGTGATCACGTTGCCTTTGCGATAATTCTCTCTCTCTCTCTCTCTCTCTCTCTCTCTCTCTCTCTCTCTCTCTCTCTCTCTCTCTATTCTTCTCTTGACGGCGTTTCTAAATGAAAAGGGAGATGTTTACGCTTCTACACATATATGGCCACATACCAACACCAAACCCTAGTTGTTTAGGAAGCTATTGGGATTTATTGGGCTTGTATCATTATGTCAAAACAAATTGACCCAATAATGTGGGAGGGAGGTGCTACAATTCTCCTCCACTTTAATGGAATTCGTCCTCGAATTCTCAACGGTGATTTCTTTCCAATGAACTCGCTTACTTTACATTTACTTGCAACTCTGTGAACTCTCCTGAGCACACAATGCTACATAAACAATGGTTATCCGTCTATAGAACTTCTCACTTACTTATTTACTTGAAACCGTCAGTTACATTCATAAGTAAATGTATCCTTCTGTTGCACTACTCTGATGGCTACTTAAAAAAAAATTGATAACTTGTCAATGTCCACCAAGTTTTAGTGCACAAACACTAATCTTATTTTCACACTCAAAACAGGAAGATCTTAACAACTTACATAATCAAGGCATCAAAGCTAACATATTAATTAACATGTTCGTACAGGCTCACTTGCGTGGCTAGCTACTGTCCACTACTTGACCTTATTAGTAGAAATTCTAACACCTTCTTCTTGGAAAAGGTTTTTCTCTATTTCCCATCATACTTCCATTGTGTTTGAGTCTCTTATCTTAAGAAAACTAGTTTCCAAGCTAGTGTTAATGAACTCATAGATTGAGAAGTTGTCCTTACTTCTTACATTATACAACTTTCCTTCTCGCAATGCTTACTAACCAATAAGGTCATGTGAGTTGGGTCAACATCCACTAGATCAATCCATCTTACCGAACCTGATTATTTTTGTGGGTGTAGCATCCAAGAGAAATATTTTTTTTTTTCCAAACTTTCCCAAAGCTTATAGGATATTCTCAAAATTTCCTAAAGCTTATACGATATTTTTTTTTTGTTTTTCTAGGTGAACCCTTCACTCTTCCAATTCACTTGTACTATTTCTGACGTGTATGCCGTACAAATTGACATTTTCCTCCAAAGCACCATATCGACATAAGATGATAACCTTTTTACCTTTATTTGGGTTCTCAGATCTCAGATTTCTAATCTGCTCAATCTCATGGATTTCTCCCATTTGTTCCATGTGTTATAGGGCTTCTTCCCCTTCCTTTGTCAATTTAATACCGTTACTCGTTTCTTAGGGAATTCGTTTTTCTTATACCTTATATATCTTCGACACCTTAAAAAAAAAAAAAACTCTCTCTTTTCCTTTCTCGATTACCTCATCCTCTGGCCTTTCTTAGCTTTTCTAATAAACTAATCTTTCTTTGAAACTTCTTAACCACACACTTACCACACGTACGTGTTCTTTCCTTGCTCTTTTTAACCAAGTGTTCTTGGTCTAGTGGTTGCCACTTGTGGAGGAGTTGCCCTGTTGGTCTAGGCCAGGGATCGATTCCCCGCAAGCGCGCAATTGCTAGATCTCCACTTGGCCACTGCGCAATTTACCTGCGGGGCGCAGCGTCCCAGACCACCAGTTCCGGGGGGCCCTTAAGTGGAGGCTTAAAAATCCCAGGCACGCGGGCTTAGGCCCAGTGGGCTAGTCGGATCACTGTGTGGTCTGGACACTGGGTTATCAAAAAAAAAAAAAAGTAAAAAAAAAATATGAGAATCCTATTTACATTCCCAAAACACGGGAATGCAATTAAGTCTTCTGAAACAGAAACCAAGCATGCATAAAAATTCACTCAATCAAACAAACATTTTAATTCAATCAAAACAATCAATCATCAAGCTCAAGCAAAGCACATAATCAATCATTCAAACATTTTTTTTTTTTTTTTTTTTTGAAATGATTTTCAAAAATCTGACACTCCGGATCAGAACTGGAGTGGTCTTAACCGGCTCTGATACCAAATGTAACATCCGTACCGCCATATAGGCCAAGACAGTATGTTATTCATCCGATCTTGCTAAAACATTTTCTTTAAACTTTACACACGAACAAAAACATTGCGCACAACTCCTGAAGCTTACTTACCTAAGGAAAAAAGAGAAAAAAGGGGTGAGTAAAGAATACTCAGTGAGCGGAATCAACTCCGCCCACTGTCACATAGAACACTTTCTAAAGCTATACAACTATCATCATAACATATAAACTTAGACACAACAATCAACTACAATGCTTTAACTTCTAACATCACATTCATAAAAACTATCTTATCCATACTAACACACACATACGTATCATTAGGTCCAGTCATTCTTGCGATGACTAGAACCTCATGAGTGGAGGCTGGCCCTCGTGGCTCAGACACTACCATGCATTCCGGGCTCGTCAGCCTTTCTTGACAAGCATGTAACCCGTCGGCCCATCACTGTCCACATTACTAGGGAGACCACGACCCATAACTCGATTCCCCTAGTCATACGTACATCATACATACATACTCATCATCATACTTAACATAACATACATAACATCATATTATCAAACATCACCCTAACACATATCAAACTCAACAATCATCAAGTCATAACTTCATATAATTTTATCTTATACAATCAGATCTAAGCCTACACATCATGCATCAAGGAGCATAACAAAAGAAAACGATACTATGTTTCACAAATACCACCCTCACCTTAGCATATGGAAGATAAAGACCCACTTCTCCTCTCTTTTCTTTTAGACCAACTTAATATCTTAACTGCAACCACATCCTCTTTAGTTCTCCCTTGTTTCTCTATCAATGGGGACCTGAATTCATGAGTCATTAAATCTCATGAAAAGCCTCAGCTCAAACCGAGCTCATTTACCCAACCAACAACACAAACTAGTCACAATTTACTTCACACAAAACTGTCTCGGAAACATATGCATAAGTCAAGTACTAACCGTTACAAACGCAATCCCACCGTTGGTTATCTAGGAAATATTACCATGAAGCTCTCCGCCAAATTTCGTCCTGATCAGACATCTTTTCGACCTACAAACGTTGCAATTAATAATCCGTCTTGGAACTGTTTTCTGGTTCATACTTAGCACAGATTTGGATAGTTTCTACAGTTACTTGGCCAAACAGAAACACTCATAACTTCTTGAATATAACCTCGACTTAATCTCCGTCACATGCTGTGCATTCTTGACAATATGAGATTTCCATAGACACTTTACACGTCAAATGATTCTCTCTGCTTCGACATATATGAGCCTTACAAAACCCCTAGTTGAATCTAAAATTTATCTGAAATAACTTAGGTTTTCCAGAATTCAGAACAAGTGATTTTTCATCAATTTGCAAAACAAATTCTGAATGGAATATACCTCTGTTTGACGAACCTTCAATTGCTATGGCTTCCTTGCAACGAGATCTATTCAGAGAGGTCAAAATATCAATATAACTCTTCCAGCTTCAACGGGAAATCAATCCACAAAACCTTTACTTGCCACAGTTTTCTCTTCTTCTTCACAATAAAACTCAGATTTAAGATAAGGATCCATCATATCAAAACAAGGGTTTGTAGAAGAAGAAGACACAATTATGTCAGGATTTCCTTACCCAAACAAACTAGTGCGATGGATCTTGGCTCCGGTGGGGGAAGTGAACAACGGTGACTACGTGAAGCTCCGGTGATCACGTTGACTTTGCCATAATTCATTCTCTCTCTCTCTCTCTCTCTCTCTCTTTCTCTCTCTCTCTCTCTCTCTCTCTCTCTCTCTCTCTCTCTCTCTCTCCCTCTCTCTCTCTCTCTCTCTCTCTCTCTCTACGGCGTTTCTAAATTAAGAGGGAGATGTTTACACTTCTACACATATATGGCCACATACCAACACCAAACCCTAATTGTTTAGAAAGCTATTGGGATTTATTGAGCTTGTATCATTATGTCGAAACAAATTGACCCAATAATGTGGGAGGGGATGTTGCAAACTCCAAGAGGCAAGATCTTCATCCCATATATTTAAATATATTATCGTATCGTGCTACTTACAATGTTTGGGTGCAAGAATGACCTTAAAATTCACAATATGAGAGTAAAAAAAGTAATATAGCCAGAGAAAATGGGGCTTAAGCAAAGATACTGATACCATTTTGTTTGCTTTTTGACACTTACGTGTATCGCATTCTTCGAACACTCAAACTTGTCATTCCACTCACTTGTTATCCCAACGTAATGAAACAGAACAACTGTAAAGTTGTCTGAAAACTGGTTTTTGAGTAGACTATACATAACAAACATCACAGTCTTACATAAAAGGAAGAATACAGAAATAAGAAGAAGATCTCTTACCACCATTATTTGATCATTTTGTTTGGTGTGTCTCAACAAAACACTTCATAGATGACAATCCTTTTCATCGAGAACACAAAACTGAAATATGCTTTCCATTGCTCTAAATAGAAATCATCTTCGCTGAGAGACACTTTGGTGAGGCATGCCTCATTTTCTCTTCTACTCATCTGAAGGTCATGATTTGCTTCTTCACCAATTCAAAGATCAATTACAACTTACAAGCCTCACCATATTTCTATGTGGTTCTTGCAACTAAATGCCTATATGCATGTTTACTGAAAACTGCAGCAAAAGACACGCATTGAAAGAGTCACTGGATTTGTCTTAGCCATTTGGGGAATAATTTTTTACTCTCGGCTTCTAAGCACAATGACAGAACAATTTCGGGTAAGTTCTTGAAATAAACACTACTTGTGAGAAATAAATGTTAATTTGTACAAGTTCTAGAAGCTGATCATATCTAAAGCAACTGAACAGTTATCATGAGCATGGTGTTCTCTTAGGTACCGTCACAGCTACAACAGTTATCAGGAGGCAGAGACTTCTGCTTATATTATACCCCAAGGAAGCAGATGGACAAGCTAGCTGAGGCGTATTCCAGAGATTTTAATCATATTGACATCCTTACAAAGAGGTAAAGTGTTTGAGAAAAAAAGATCACGGCTAGCGAAGATTATAATGCGTCCTCGTAAGTCCTTATCAAAGGTATGATTCCCAATTGCCCCCTACAATGCTTGATCTATAATACCGAGCTTTTGAAAATTTAATTTTGAGACCTCTGATTTTCATTTCTATGGTTTACACAGGGATCAGATTCCGCAAAGGACCCTCAGAATCTATACTTTCACTTGGTTGGCGTGGAGACGTTGTGCAAATGATCGAGGAGTTTGATAACTATCTTGGTCCAGGTAGTTCAATGGTATGATCATATACCATTATCTCTCTCTGGTTGGCTCTCACATATTTAGTTACTAATAAATTTCTGTACACAAGAAACATTATCGGATGTACCGTTAGAGGACAGAAGAAGAGTGGGTGATAGTATGAGTTCAGTGAAAATCAAGAACATCCAAGTTTCGCATAAGGTAAATTTCATTTTCAGAGGCATGAACAAGAAGAGGGTCAAAGTCATTGTGTATTGATGTTTTTCAATCTTCTGTAGGTTGGGAATCCTCTGAATTATGATACATTAAAGCAAACTATAATGCGTATGAAATGTAAATATAGAAAAAGCAAAAATATTCCTTTGACCATCCTTGTCATATCGGATCGAGACTGGCTTCTTGGAGGTAAGCATTCGCGACTAGTTCTTCTTAGTTCCGTCTTTTGCAATAATGGTAACACTTACAAATATTTGATGTCTTTTAGATCCATCTAGAGCAGACAAACAATCCGCTTACTCTCTTCTACTCGCTGAAAGCATCTGCAACAAGCTTGGAGTAAAGGTAATCTTTGAACTTTTCATCGAATCCTAACCACATTGCGTAGGTAGAATTCGTCTTACTTTTGTTGTTTCTTTAGGTACATAATCTAGCCTCTGAAATCGTCGACTCATAACTCGGGAAGCAGGTATTCAAAGGCGTTTTTCTTTTTTCTATTAGCTACTTTTTACGGTTAAGTTGGTGAAACATTATACAAAACCATACAGATAACAGGACTCAAGCCGTCCTTAACTTTCATAGCAGCAGAGGAAGTTATGGGCCTTGTAACAGCACAAGGTTACATTTCATCAATTTGAATTTGTTTCTTGGTTATCTATCTACAATCCGAACAATAGTAATACTCTTTATAATCAGTTGCTGAAAATAGCGAACTGAACGAGGTATGGAAGGACATTCTAGATGCAGATGGTGACGAGATATACGTAAAGGTTAAAAAAAGAAAAACACTCTTCCTTCAAATATTTTTGCCAGCGACTTTCACAAATTTCAAAATAATTGCGGTCTGAGAATCTCGAGTTTCCTTTGAAACACACAGGACATTGAACTGTACATGAAAGAGGGCGAGAATCCTTCATTCACTGAGCTCTCAGAGCGAGCTTGGCTAAGGAGAGAAGTCGCCATAGGCTACATAAAAGGCGGTAAAAAGGTTTGTGTTTTATTACTCTGCAACATACATTTAAAACCTCTTCCTCTTCACGAACATCGGCAACTCATTTTTGTTGTTGTAGATAATCAATCCGGTTCCAAAGACAGAACCTCTCACCCTTGAAATGGATGACTCATTGATTGTTATTTCAGAGCTTGAAGGAGACCAACCCATCACACTATGAAAATATATACAATCTCATATACCACATATGTTATAGTTTCTCACACACCAAGCGACATTGGGCAAGGAGACTGACTCACAAATGCAAACATCAAATAAGTCGTTGAATTTGTACAAAGAACCAAAATTCTTTTACATCGAAGCCCCTCTTTTGTTCATTGGTCTTAAATTTCAATGAACGATCTAATTTCTAATAACAATCTTGTACATGGATCTAAACTAGCTCAATCTATGCTCTCCTTGACAAACTCTCTAGTTCGTTACTTAGGAGACAAAACAGAACATGACAAAAACACAGCACCAAATCTTAGAATTCACACTGTGAAGAGAGGAAAGTTTAAACTTTGAGAAATGTAACTGGATAACAAGAGGTCATTGAAACAAAGGCAGTACAAAACCAAATTAAGAACTGAGAGGATGCAGTGCAGTTACACAAAGTGGTAGCAAAGCAAGCAGGGGAGAGATATAGAGACAATTTGCCTAGAAACATCTTTCACCCAATCAAAGCATGAATAAAAAACGTAAAAATTACTTAGAATGACCCATATTTGTAGTGAAATAACTAGAATGACCCAGTTCTGGGAGCTCTAACTAGACTAACCCATATCTTTTTGACAAAGACATTCTAACCACTTTTTTCAACATATTAACAAAACTGCCATTATGAATTATTTTTAATAAAAAGTAAACTAAAAACAAAAAAATATTAAAATCTAAAATTCATGTTTTCTTTTTTCACATTTTTCTCTCGACACTTCACTTTTCTCTTCGTCCAAAACCTAGCCACCACCTCTCTTCTAAATTCCGTTCGCCGTAACTCCGACCGCCGCACTTCTGTCCGGCTTTGTCCACCAGTACCTGCCGCTTCATCTTTCTCCTTTCTTGTCCTCTCCACCGCTTCTCCCTTTTCCGCTGAAACCATCGCTTCTCTCTTCTCCGCCGCTTCTACTTCATCTTCTTAGGCTTCACCGCCAGCATCTATGTCGGATTCCGTCACCAGCAGCAGCTACGTTGAGGTTTTCCTTTGATTTATGGTTTATATTTTATAAAATGAGTTAGGAAAACATATTGCATGAAAGGTGTTCGATGAAATGTCAGTCTTGATGACAGACTTATTTGTTAACTATCACAGATTTATTTGTTGCTCATCACAGACTTGTTTGTTCGTTTTCGTAGATTTATTTGTTTCTCATCGCAGATATGTTTTAAGTAATAACAATTTTATTAATGTCTATTGCAGGATCATATTGCGAGTATCTTTGTTGGTTGCATTGTTTTGATTGTAGATTTATTTGTTAGTGTTTGGTTTTGTTGGTTGTATTTTGATTGCATATCTTTTTGTTAGTGTTTCCAGATTTAATTGCTGCTCATCACATATTTGTTTGTTTGTTGTATTGTTTTGATTGCAGATATATCTGTTAGTATTTGCAGTTTTATTTATTGTTTACAACAGATTTGTTCGGATGTGAGACCGTAGCCAATGCTTACGGAGACGTAGTTCAAGCCATCAAAGCACAAAATTGTGGGAAACGTAGTTCAAGCCATCAAAGCACAATTGTGTGAACGAGATTGGAGAGCTCAAAGTCGTGGTAAATGCTATGAGGAAGATATGCAAGAGTTAAGGATGTTCAAAAACATGGTTATGTTATTTTTGGTCATGGTCGTGGTGTATTACTTCATCCTTGCATAAGAGTTTGTATGAGTTTGTAATGTGATTAGTTTTATGAAAATGTATTCACTTAAGATTAATAGTTTGTTTTGAGTTTAACTTGTATTCACTTGAGCTTGTATTGGTCTTCCATTGTCTCGTCGTGCAGAGTTCGAGATGCCTTATCTCAATGATCACTCAGAATGAGTCTCTTTATGATATGGTCGTGGTTGCATTTGGTTTTGAGTCAGATGTTGCAAGTTTTCTTATTTAGGAATGTTATTGTTCCCACAGAATTTTTTGGTGTGAACCAGTTGTTGCAGGTGTTACCACCGACTTTTTTGGTGTGAACCAGTTATTTTTCCTGAGTGTTATTGTAACCACAGACTTTTATTAGAACATGTAAGACGTGAATTTTTAGAGATATAAGTTCCATAACAACACATACAAGTTCCATAACAACACACATGAAAGTTTGACATGTCAATACAGACGTCTTCAGATTTATTTGAATTCGCTGAGTTCAGTGGCAAAACTGTAAATAATGACAGGTTTTTCTGTAAATAACGGCAACTTTTGCCTCGCTGGCATTTTTTTTTTAATGGCATTTTTGTTATTATGATTTTCTCTACAAAGCTTTATAGGGGTATTTTGGGGATTAAAAAAAACAAAAACACTCTAGTTATTATTAAAAGATATGAGTCATTCTAGTTATTAGTCCCCATATAAGGGTCATTCTAGTTATTCTCCCATAAAAAACACAAGAACAAAAATTCTTCAGGCAAATTTCTCTGCCTTTTTTTTTTTGGCTTTTTCATTTATATATTTATATTAGGAAACAGTCTTGGAACTCTCTTGGTTCCTACACACAAGGAAGCAAATGCATACATAGAGTTAAAGGGAAAAAAAAACCGTGAAGGACTCTCTTGTGTTCCTCCTTTTCAGGAAGAAGAGACACGTTCTCTGTTATTTACAGAAGCAAATGAAAACAAAGAAACAAAGGAAACAAATAGAAACAAAGGAAACAATTGGTACTCTAATTCGATTTCTTCACTCGATTTGGTCGTCGCTTTAGCAAATGACCACTTGTCATCACCCTTCCACCCGTTATTACTCTGCAATCCTGAAAAAATTAGCGATATCTTCAGGTAGCTTTGGACAATGAAAGACATCGAATTTTCTAAGGTTAGGAAGAGTCCGAAAATTCCAGCAGATTTCCTTAAGTTCATCCAAATTAGCTCAAGGGATTCCAGGTTCCCAAAGGGAAGAACAATATCTGGATGCACTTTGGTAATACTCATTCCTTTCTCCTTATTTATTATTTCTTCTATTTCTGCTGAATTGGCCACTTCTAGTTTCTTTAGATTTTGAGCAAATAACAGCAATACAAACCGATTATACTAACATCGGAGAGATGCTTGAAGCCTGGAGAACTTGTAGATGGAAGAATCTCCATTGGTGAAAGCTCCCTTCTTTCTTTGCTTTCCTAATCTATCGTTATCTCAGATATGTCGCAGCTATCAATTCCAAGTTGTTGAAGACCTCGCAGAGCTATCGTGCGTAATATTACACGAGGTGCTGACATAAATCTTAGATATAAACTTCTAATACTACTCGCCAATCGGTCAATTCCTTGTATCCTTTCCAAAATCGTGGCATCCTTTACATTTGCCGTTAAAATCTTCAAGTGCTCCAACTGCTGTAGTTCCTCCATTAATATGTCATCAACATAAACTCTGCAACAAAATAATTTCAACACTTGCAGATTTGGTAAGGTTGCTGCTATCCCAAGAAGATGACTCTCAAGTACAGGAGTGTACTCCAGATTCAAGTAGATTAGTTTCCTTAACTCCTTTAGACCAACTGGTAGCGATTTTATCCTTGTGCGTCATAAATGGAACAAATTCTCAGGGGCTCCTCAAGCTCCAAATTTTGTCTCAAATACTCCTCAATAGTAGAAAGACAAAATTACCCTGAATGAAGGTTGATTTCGGGTGATAAAGGTTAAATACAATTAAATCGGTAAGTGTTCAACAAAAAACACAATAGCTCAGTGGTTGCGAGCTCCATGCGCACGCGCGCGCCCCCAGGGTTCGAATCCTTTTATACGGATTGTAACTGGTACAACTAGGGAATATTCGGGAATATTCGGGTACAACTAAGTTGTGGTACAACTAGGAGGTGGTACAACTAGGTCCTACAATTAGGAGGAGGTACAACTAGTGGTACAACTAAGGTCTGGTACAACTAAGGTCTGGTACAACTAGGAGGGTACAACTAGGAGGGTACAACTAGGATACCAGTTGTACCACGTATACCTAGTAAAGGGGTAGTTTCGTTCTTTCATTAAAAGGAGGAGAGTATGTAGATTAATTCTTTGACTCTGAGGAGCAATTGAGATTAGTCTCCGTGATAAATTGAGATATTGTAGGGAACCTAAGTTAGAAATTTCTTCCGGCACTCCAACAAGCCCCCAATTTCTAGAAAGATCCAAGACCACAAGTTTTGGCATAAACCGAAAGAATCCATCTGAAATATCCACCAACTTGTTATATGAGAGTAATAGGGTTGAAAGGTTGGGGCAGTTGGGACTGCAAGATATCTTCTCAATCTGATTACTAATTAAAGACATTTGTCTCACAATCTCCAAATTGATGTCATTCGGTATCAGACGTGCACCAGATTTCACACAAATTGTTACTTGTTGATTTTCGTAGTCAGAATTTATCCAAAGAGCCATCTCACGTATCACATCATGCATTTTAACTCCGACCCCACAATCAATCAACAAATGAGCACGAACTAACAAGCCAATTATATCATAACCTTGGTTGGTACCTCCATCTTCATATATGTTCGGATTTATAAATCCTTCGCAAATCCAGTATTCTATCAACCAGGCCCGGCCCAGCACCAATTTTGAAGAAACATTTGTATTGGGCCTCAAATTTTTGAGGCCCATTTTTGTTAAGATTTTTTTTTTTTAATTAGGCCTCAAAATTAACAAAAAACCCAAAAATTAGCAAAAAAATCTCATAATTAACAAAAATATTCCACAATTAGTAAAAAAGTCTCTCAATTAACAAAAAATGTCCAGAATTTTTTTTAAAATAAGAAGTAAAAATTATGAATATCTCATAATTAGTAAAAAAAAAAGTTAGCAATTTTTATTTTTTAAAGAGGCCCCAATTTTTTTTTCGTATTTGGCCTCGGATTTTACCGGACCGGCACTGCTATCAACTGCTCCTTCTTTATTTCAAAATCTTCAGGAAACAAAGAACAATATAGGAAGCACGATTTGATTTCACCATTCTTCAAGCTATCATAACTGAACTTCAAAACGCCAAGAATTCTTTCTTTCATACCTGGAAACT